CCCCAAAACCCCAAAACCCCAAAACCCCAAAACCCCTTAAATGTGTTGTAAGATTGAACTAAAAATTGTTGCATTCGCCCTCAAGGGCATCCATTTTGTAATTTATGACAGTCTCACGCTTGGAGTTTATGAAGTCCATGAGAGGGGCAAGGGAGCACGGTTCTGGAGAGAATGGTGCTAAGTCGAGTTCATTATCCGGCTGTAATAGATCCACTGGGCTTTCCATCTTGATTTGGGAGTCAGGGTCTAGTTGACTTTCTGATGGGATTTCTTGATTAATCAGGCCATTCTTTATGCTTAAAAATTTATCTATGTAATCATAAATGAACATTTTGGTGAAGAAGTCATTCGAGTTTATAATCTTTCTAAAATGAAGGTTCTCAAGGAAGTGGAAGAAGACATATCTCTTGGTCTCTCTATATTCTAGCTGCTTGGAATAATAATCCCATTTGAATCTAAAGAATGAGATAGAAAAGATTACTCTATCCAGTATCCAATCATTCAATCTATCATTTTGCCTACAGAGCCTGTAATTGATGCTCCTCTTTTCACTCCCATAGCCATCTTGTTCCAAGCTTGCATGAAGGCTGCCACAAAGTAGTGAGGGTGATATATGTCTTTGGTACATCCTTCTCCAAGGTATTTCTCGATTAATTTACTAAAATTCGTTAGAAAAACTTACTTTGCCTTGATTCTGGAAAGATCCATTTCTGGTATATGAATATGACTAAAAATGATGAAAATTAGCTACCTTTTAAACTCTCCTTTTCAAAACTCTGAGTGAATATCTTCATTGGACACTGGGTTAATAAAGCTATGTCTTTTGCTACCAATCTGGGCAAGTAATTTCTGATATTCTTCCGGCTTCAATTTCATCCCTGGAAAGGGTAAGCGAAATCTAGCCTCTCCTTCTACCCTAGTGTTTCCTTTCCCTATTTTTATCTCATTCTTTCGAGTGTTTTTAAAACTTTTAGCTCTTTGTTTAATGCGAGCTTTTTGCTTATTGGAAATATAATTTTTCTTGTTTTTGGTCCATTTATTTCCACAAGTATATGCTTTTCTGAAGAAGCTTTCATCTAAATTTTGAAGAAATGTCCTTACAGTTTTTACTAGGTCATTTGATGTAATCCACAATCATTCTTCTCCCACAAGTCACTAAATTTTGAATGCCAGATCTTACCAAGTCTGTCGTCTTGATTGAGAATAGAACTATTAAAAATTCTGAGTGTCTTCTTCCCATACAGGAGTTTCGTCGATCATTCTAAAAATTGCTACTCTTTCTTACTTTTGAGTGATGCTTTTGGAGCTATTTATCATACTATGGGGTTACTGAATGATACTCACTCATATATTAGACAAGTGCTTGACTGGGTCCCAGAGAATGCTATACTTATCAAGGATGAAGATTCATGGGACAACACTAATCTCAAAGCAGCTGATCCCTCTGAAATATACTTCAATATGCTTATTCCGCATTCCTTCTCTAGACCCAATAAGGGGATGCTTCCTGTAGTGGCGAACTAAATTATCCATGTTTGCCAAAGAAGAACCGCATATGAAGCAGCTGAGAGCTGGAATGAAAAGTTGTCTACATAATTAGAGCTATCCTTACGCTACTGAGATATCATGGTCAAATCGAAGTGCGGATTTTAAAATTTCTTCTGCATTCATACCCTCTATAGAGAAATATGAGATGATAAATAACAGACTAATCATGATGATAGATCATAACTTACGGATGTAGAAGTGGGACTCAAAGACTAACTCTTGCTCAATGAAAAGGAAATAGTATCCCTGTTCTGCTGCCTTTTTGTACTCTTCATTTGTAACTTTCTTTGAATACAAATAACAATCATCTGTCTTCTCAGAGTAGACCTTCTCAATTTTATTTAACATTCTTCATCCTAAATTCCAAATTTAGAGTTTCAAGTTGACTAATAATGCCCCAATAAAAATCATTAAGCTACTTACACTCTTTTGAGGTTGGTTGCATTCTGATTGAGTGCTAATTCATAATTTGTTGAATTGTCATCTCCCTGGTCATTACCGGTAGAGCTCTTTGCTACCTTCTTGAACGTATCTAAAGGTCTTAACAACACCTTGCTCACCTGAGATTATATCATAGGCTTCTGCCTTGACTTCTACCTTAGTTTCTGCCTTGGTTTCTTCCTTGCCTTTAGGATGTTTCTTCTCAGATGGATTTTGTCTAGACATCTTCACTAAAATTTAGTTTTATTCCTAAAATTAGTGCAAATGGGGTTTTGGGGTTTTGGGGTTTTGGGG